GGTAGATAAGTCTACCTACCAACCTCTGATAAATAGTCGGATCTCTCAACTCCTTACTTTTAACAGTAAACTTCAAGTTTGGAATCATGGGTGATGATGCTAGTTTACACCCTAACATCCCAGTGTCTGAGAGAAGATCCAAAACATACTTTTTCTGAGAAAGAACAATACCCCTGCTGCTACGGGCAACCTCAATCTCAAGAAAGTATCGCAAAAATTCAAGATCCTTCACATCAAAGGCTTTTCCAAGGTCTACCTTGACCTGCACAATCCCAGAAATATCATCTCCAGTAATAATAATATCGTCAACATATACCAAAAGGATGACACACTGTCTAGAAGTATTTCGTCAAATGAAGTAGGTATGATTAGAATGACATCTAGTGAACTCTAAACGTATAACTACATCACTAAAGCGAGAGAACCAGGCTTGTGGTTACTGTTTCAGTCCATAAAGAGACTTGCGCAGTCGACACACCTTTCCAGCATACTCTCCCTCATCACGAAAGCCCAATAGTGCATCCATATAAATAATCTGGTCCAGATCACCATGAAGAAATACATTCTTCACATCTAACTGATGAAGAGGCCAAGAGTACTCTGCAGTTAGAGAAATAATCAATCGAACAATAGTCAATTTTATCACGGGGGCAAAGGTAGCACTAAAATCACAACTTGGTACCTGAGTAAAGCCCTCGCCACAAGCCTAGTCTTGTGACGATCAATACTACCATTCGCAAGAAACTTCAGGGTGTAAACTCAGCGAAAGCCAATAGGCTTCACCCCTAAAGGTAAAGAGACAAGATCCCACGTATGATTACGCTGAAGAGCGTCCATCTCTGTTTGCATGGCAAGAATCCACTTGGGCTTCCTCATAGCCTCTAAAACAGAGCAAGAAACTAGTATATTTGATAAAGCCATACTATAAGCTTGAAATGTAGAAGACAAATCACCATAAGACACATAAGTAAAGATCGGATATAAAGTCCTGGAAATCTAACCATAACGAACAACTAGAGGATGATCACGCTGCAGATAACGACGCCCTACATCATCATCCTTCACTGACAATGTCTCATCAGAAAAAATATTTGGCTTAGTACCTACAATCTTATCAGTACTAACAACAGGTGCATCAATATGCTCAACGAACTGAGAAATATTACCTACATCGCCTGAGGTAGAAGGGACATCAGCAGGGGGATGAGAATGAGGGCGACGAACATAAACCTGCAAAGGAATAGAGACTGGTGACTCTGTACTGATAGGGACAAGTGGCTCTAAAGAAGGAGAGACTAATGACTCTGTACTAATAGTGACCAATGGGTCTGGCTCCTGCAATAATGGAAAATCAAAGGGAGTATCATCAACTAGAGAGGCAGACACAGGACTAGAAGAAAAATAAGGAATGTGCTCAAGAAAGGTAACATCTAAACTGTGATACATACGGTGCCTAATAGGATTATAACACTGATACCCCTTAGACTGATGACAATAGCCCACAAAGACACAACGAATCTCTTTATCATGAAGCTTATGGCGAGTAAGAAATCGATCTTAAACAAAATATGTGCAGCCAAAAATACGAGGAGGGACCGAAAAAATGTCCGCTTAGGAAATAAGACCTGTAAGGGAGCCTTATGCTGAAGAACACGACTTGGTGTACGATTACATAGAAAGGTAGAAGTCAAAACAGCAAAATACCAATAAGATTTTGGTACCCCCATATCTCTAAGCATACAACGTACCATCCCTATTAGACTCCTATTTTTCCTTTCAACAACTCTATTTTACTCAGGAGTATATGGACAAGTGAGCTATTGAAGAATACCCTGAGAGGAAATGTGAGACACTAAGGCATTTGACACATATTCTTTGGCATTATCCGAACGAAGAACACAAACAAGGACATCGAATTGTGTCTTAATCATCTGGAGAAACTGTGTGATGACAAGGAGCACATCAGACTTCCTATGCAAAAGGTAGACCCAACTACAATGGGTATGATCATCTATAAATGTCACATAGTATCGAGCACCTGACAAAGCAGTAACAGGAAAAGGTCCCCAAATATCAGAGTGTATTAGGTTAAATGACTTGGATGACTGGTGCATGCGAAGAATATAACTAGTCCGAACATGTTTCGATAGGGAACATATAACAAAGTCAAGCTTACCACCAACACAAGCAATGGTCAAAGTAGAAAATAACATACATAAATATTTAAAATTTGTATGTCTAAAACGATCATGCTATAACTGAATAGTTTGTGATGAAAAATCATAACGAAAAGTATTAGGCAAGATACTAGCATGCAAGCTAGGAACAGATAAAGACAAAGTAGGTGCAGGTGATGGAGGTGGAGGAATTGGTGAAACTGGAGGTGGTGCGCCTAAATAATACAATCCATCTCTCTCATATCCCTTGATAATAATCCTCTTGATACTCAGGTCCTGCAAATAACACGAATCAGATAAAAACACAACCACACAGTGAAAATCTCTGGCTAACTAATATACGGATAATAGATTCATGGCGAGTTTTAGTGCATGAAAAATCGAATGTAATGTAAATCCATCTAGGAGACGGATTGTACTCCTACTAAAAATAAGGGCATGTGTCTCATCTACTAGCTGAACCTGTGCATGTAATTATTCGTCAAAAGTGGTGAAGTGATGGGCTTCCCCTATCATATGACCATTTGCACCCGAGTCCAGCATCCAAAGGGGAGACGGACTAGCGCAAGCATGAAAGACATTAGGTATACCTGTAGTGATGACAGTAATAGTAGTCGGACCCTGAGAAGTTAGGGCGGACATAAGTATATCCAATTGAAAAATGATAGCATCCATATCACTTTGTCAAGGAAGAGCAACATCAGGAACAACGGCAGTAGGTGGTGGTACCTCAACAAAAACAGTAGTACGGCTGCGAGGAAGTGGCTTAAGCTCCGGATAAAGCTTCCAGCAAGTAGCCTGGAGATGGCCTGATCGGCCACAATAATAACACCGATGAAAACTAGGAGGTACAATCCAGGTGAAAGTACTAACAGCAGAGATCTCAAAAGTAGAGGTCTCAAATCCCTCAATAGTAGCTATAACAACAATAATACTAGGGCACCCGTGACAGAAAAATAATTCTAAGATAAATAGAGGGATAAAATAAGGGAGAACTATATACCTCTAGTCGAACAATAGCGATAAATAAAGAAGGTCCAGAAAGCTCCCAAATAATCACGTTACGGTGCCCAGAAATCAAGAAAATAGAAATAAATGATCTACTACATCAAGAGTAACTCAACAAAAAAGAGGATTCAACCCCTCTTAAAACAGTCCTAGATATTGCAACTTGGCAACACTGTGACAAAGATAGCGAACGACGAAGTTACAACTAAAAAATGCGACCCGACAGTGAGCTGAGTAGTGACCCATCAGTATATAGCAGTTGGTTGAATAGTGGGTTGGTTTGGTATATGTTTAATGGGTTGGGGCAATACTGGGTTCTGGTTTGGGCTGCTAGTCGGTGTTGGCTATTTACTTTGTATATGTCGATGCTACTGTTTAGGGTGTATATGGTTCGCTGGCAAATGGAATAGAAGTAGTCAGTTGGTTTTGGGCAGTTGGCTGGTCTGGAGTTGAGTGCATTTGTCGGCAAGTTATTGACTAGGTCTTGGTGGGTATTATTTGTCGGTGGCTGGTATGTGGGTTCTATCGGTGGGGCTGCTGGATTGATACAGGCTTTGGACTTTGGGGGCAATCTCAGTTGGTGCAGGTTGGGCTGCTTGGTTATTTCGCCGGGTACTGTCGATCGATTGGGTTGATGCAAGCTGTGGGTAGTTGTGGCAAGACTACTACTGGTAAGCAGTCGGTGTAGCAGAGGCAAATGGGGAGTGGAGTGGAGTGGAGGTTGTCATCTCGCTGGTTGTGATGTTTCGTGGAGGCTAAGGTTAGAGTTAGGATTAGGGTTGATGACTCTGATACCAACTTGAAATATTTAGAAGAGAGAAAAGGTATACAAACTAAGTTTAGAGCCCCCGTATATATAGCCAATGAAAATTATAATAAGGGTAAAAAGGTAAAACAAGAAAACTATAATAAACTAAACTGTAATATCTCCAACATCTAAAGACCCTGCATATACGAAATGAGATGGATTTCTCGCCAAATGGTCATAATCAAATACATTGTGAATTGTGTAGTGAAGTGAATCATAATCATCGAAAGTGTTCACTAAGAAACACTCGAGCTCCTGCATCCCTTTCCTAGGCATATGTGATTTTTTTTTATTGTTAACTTGTTCTATGTTGTACTAAAGTGTGTAGTAGACCTTATGTTGTAATATTTTGTAGATAACGCAAATAATGAGATGTGTTGGAATGATATCAGTATAATATCTTCTATGTTGGAAATCTTAATTTTGTCACTACTTGATTGTGGATGTTTTGTTATATAATTGATAATTGTATTTAATTTGGTTTTGCATATTTTTTGTTCTGGCCATGGACAATGATGGTAGACAGTTGTTACATCCTGGTCCACAAGACCACTCTGTTATGTCATTACTGGCAGAACATCGGCTAGAGTATATATGGCAGGGCGTAGATCCCCCATCTTTGCATTGCAGGCACAGTAATCACACCGTACGACAACTACATGTCACAGATGAACGAGTTATTCGTCATTTGCCTACTGCGGGGTTTTGCGGGGTCATTCTTCATTTGCTAAAGACAATATATTCCAATTAGCGATTTATCACTAAAGACATCATTTCGAATCACGTTTTTAAAACTACATGAGTTTGGAATATACTTTCAAAATCGCTCGGTTTTGGGTATAAGTTAAAAAAAAAAGGCCTGATTTTGGGTAAAAGCTATATATATATATACCTTTCAGATCGGTCTATTCCATAGACGTTCTACTGTTTCTAAAAAAAAATTAATCTTTAACTAAACATAATCAAGCCTTGAAGTACTATGTCCTTCACAAGACAACCCTTAGTATTCAACGGCCTGAGCGGAGGATAAAGTCTGTAGTAGACATGGAATAACCAGAAGCCTTCCCAGTTGAAGAAGCAAATGATGATAAATATTCATTATACTGTCTACTCCCGACTGAAAACATACCAATTGAAAACATGTCAGGTCCTATAGCATCCGCCATTATTTTCGGCAAGGTCGCATCGCCATTCAAATACTGCATCACTTGCCTCATGCTAGGCCTAGCCGCTGGATTAGAATGCGAGCAAAGTAGACCCAACGTCAAAACTAACTCCATTTCTTCAACCTCAAAATCACCTCCCAATATCGGATCAATTGCCTCAAGAATAGCTCTTTCTACCCATCTCTCCACAACCCACTCTGCCAAAATCATGTTGTTAGGCTGTGGCTCTACAGGTTTTCTTCCACAAGCCACTTCGAGCATAAACGCCCCAAAAGCGAAGACGTCTGTACTTGTAGTTGCCTTGCCAGTTCTAGTCAACTCTGGTGCAAGCTAGCCAACAGTTCCAACCACATGGGTTGTTTCAGGGTTTGTGCCATGATCATACAATCTAGCAAGTCCAAAGTCTCCAAGCCGACCGTTAAAATCAACATCTAGCAGTACATTACGGGCTGTCACATCTCTGTGAAGAACAACTTGTTCCCATTCTTCATGTAGATAAAGAAGGCCAGAAGCCATCCCTCTGAGAATTTGATAGCGTTGTGCCCAATTAAGGCTTGGTTTTTGGTTACTGTATAAGAACTTGTCGAGACTTCCATTGGGCATGTAATCATAGACCAAGAGAAGCTCTCCCTTTCTACGGCAGTAGCCGAGGAGGGCCACCAAGTTCCTATGCCTCAGTCTTCCCATGCTAGCTATTTCTGCCACGAATTCCCTCATCCCTTGTGTCGAATCGTGTGAAACTTTCTTCACTGCGACTTGTGTTTTGGAAGAAGGAAGTACTCCTCCATAAACTTTTCCAAAACCTCCAGCTCCAAGAAGCTCTTTCTCTTTGAAACCTTTGGTTGCTTTGTAGAGATCCTTGTAGGAGAATCTCTGAGGTCCATATTACACTTCCCAATTCCCTCTTATTTCTTCATACTTTCTCTCTATCAGAATGTAAGCAGTCCCACATAGAGTGATGATCACAATAGAAACTGAAACAATTGAAACTACCATTTCAAAAACTGGTAATTCCTTTGATTTTTTTGTACGAGGAACCGAAGGAAGCTTTGAGAGTTCTAGACCATTTGCTGACCCAGTTTTGTTGAAGCTCCACCCGAGAATATAGTGGTTGCTTGCGGCAACTGTACCTGTTGATGCAGAGAAGGCAACATACATGGAGTCCAAGAAAACTGGAGAAAGATCAACGGAGGTTGACAGGAGAGGTTGATTAGGTTTTGGGCTTCTGATTGGAGCTAGTGCAACGTTTATAATCTTTTTTCCTCCATCATAATCGATCCAAATTTGAATTGGGTTTCCACTCGTAAGCTCCAAGCTTGTGTTTACCCCTTTGGAGAAATATGACACAGGAGCTGATGCAGTTGAGTTTAAGCTGTTTACATCGATTCCAACATGATTGCCGTTAATATCTTGGAATAGAGTGTTAGCAATAGTGTCAAACTCAACTGCGAACACATGGTTTGAGGAAAGGCCGTTGTTAGAAGAATTGAAGAGTCCCAAATAGAGGCTTGACCTGGCATAACTGAAGTCCTTAGATGGAGAGATGGTGAAGGCAAACCCATTGCCATTAGGAACTGATAATTCGGGAACTATGGCGAAGATAAAACTGGTGGAAAACGAGAGAGATGACTCGGGTGACTCGGACGAGTTGAACTTCACAGGAAGTGGATAGAAAGCATGGCCTGTTTGTTGGCCGGAAGTGTTTGTTAGCTGCAATAGACCATTGGGGCGGATTTGAGCGAGCCCATCAAGGTGAAGTTTGGCTTCACGAAAGCCATTGTAAATGAACTGGTTTTGAGCTTGAGCTAAGGCCAAGAGTATGAAAAACACGGAGAGAAGAAGCAGCATGAAATGAAGAGATATAAGATCTGTAGCCATTTTGATAGAGAAGAAAAGGTTTCTTCCTTGACGATGAAATTACAAATGCTATTCCTTTGCCAAGAAATGAGTTTTCTCAATTGCTATGTGTACTACACCATTAAATTTTGGAATGGAAAATGCTGTTTGGTTGAAACGTTTGTATTTCTGTTGCCATTAGATGGGGAAGTTTCCTAAATGAAAAGCATCAGCACAAATTGGACGACCATACCGACAACGCAATTTGCTGATCCGCTATATTGACAGGTGAGTCTTTGATATTAAAGCAATTAAAAAATAAATTTTAAAATTACACTTGATAATTATAAAGAATTTTTCAACCGTATCATTGACAATATCGTATCAAAAAATTATAATTTTTAAAATTAGTTTATAATTTTTTTTTTTGATATAAGCTATAATTTCAAAGAATATGATTGATCACGAGTGTCTGCAATTAATCATGACATTTCTTGACTAGTTATAACTTGTTCTTTTAAACTTATAATTTTACTCATCAAGAATATTAATACAAGGTACAATACCAATTTTTTTTTTCCGATACCGTAAAATTTTCCTTAAACAAGATTCATGGTCAGTTCAATAATGATAGGGTTAACTTATAAAAATTAGCAAAATTAATTTTTTTTCCTTAACTTTATACAAATTAAATAGGCGATGTACCAAAATAAATCAACCAAAAATATAAAAACAGATAATAAATTAACTACAAGCAAAAAACAAAATTTACGTGATTCACTCAAACGCAGATTACGTCGATGAACGTTGATCTCAATATTTCACTATATTTCAATAATGAGTTTACGACAACCTTCCCTAGAAGAAAATTTGCTGATCACTAGTTAATTCCCATTATCCTGAATAACATGTTAAAATTTCATCAAAATTCAACGTTGACTACCTATCCGCAATGTGGCCGAACATCACTTTTTTCGTTCCTGTCTCAGTCTGCGCAAAAATTCTCTGCTTTTTGCCTCACAATTTACGCCGTCTCCGGTAAGTCTTCTTTTGTTGGCAAAAAACCAATTCCTTCTTAGTTTTATTTTATGTGGTCAAAGGTTTACCACGTTATTCCACAAAGCATCTATTTTCTTTAATTAATGGGTTTTTAACTCATCAACCATGGGTTGAACTGCGCTCATGGATTAGATCCAAACCCAACAAATATTAATAGATTATATCAATGTATTAGGTAGAAGCTTTGATATCTATCAATAAATGGGCCTACCACTTCTCATTTCATTTATCCAACTTTAGCAAGAAAAATTTATTTATTTATACTAGGTTCGAGAGGATGAATTTGGAGCATAGTTTTAAAATCCAGTTCGGACATCAACCAGACAAAGGGACCGGGTCAATGAGTTACTGATTCAACCGTTGAATCACTAGTCGAACCAGTCATATAATAAAAAAATAAAAAATAACAATAAATAGACTAAAACATCACAATAATTATAAAAATAACATCAAACATTTAAAGTAGACAAAAACCTCAAACATATATCCAATGCATTAAATTTCTAATACGACTTGTAAAGTTAAGTAGAGAAAAATGCCTCTATTTAAATTCAAACTCCAATTCCAAGTCTTCGACTGTGTATCAGTCCTAAACCTACTAGGAGTGAAGGGTGCGAGCAAGGAGTCACGATGCTCAAATTCAAGGATGCTAGCGAGCTATCTCTAATGGCTGATATAGTAGCAGGACAACTTGTAAAAAGTCACATGAAATACAACAAATCAAGCAAATATGTCACCAAGGTAGCGCTCTCGTAAAGAGGGTATATTCATTTCGTTCAATGTATAAAATACAAACCAAAAATCAATGCCTTCATCACTATTCATAAGGGACAAATCTTCCCTATTGTGTGCTCAATGTATAAAATACAAATCTTCAATAATTCATTCAATGTATAAAATACAAACCATCACAATCAATGAATCAATGTATATAAAATCAGTGGCCTTATTCATTCATACAATGTATAAAATACAAACCTAAAATCAGATTGTATAAAACCAAACACCAAATCAATAAAAGATTCAATGTATATTCAATTTTGTAAAAAAAATACAAACCAAAAATCAAATATTGCAGAATGCAGGGGAAAAGAAAGATAAATAGACAATAGTAAAAACTAAAGTAGAAAGATGAGAGAGAGAAGAGAATGACTGAAGTATACCTCTTGTTGAACGAGAGGGAGAGGGAACAATTGAACACAAGAGAGAGGGAGAAAGTATACCTACTGTTGGCCAGTTGGGTATTGGTGGACAATTCCAGTCAATTGAGCTTTGATGGATGGAAGAAAATTCACTTCGAATTAAGATCTTTCGCAATGTAGCAGAGGCTCAGAGAGAGAGAGACTCACGTTGTTCACCATCAACGAAGATCGAAGAGGCAAGAGGCTAGGAAGAGAACGATTAAATTTGGGCAAACATAAAGGGCCAAAATTCTGGAATTTATAGTAAATAAATTGAACCGTCCGGTCTGGTTTAACTTGTCTGATTTGAACGATTTAACATTTTTGTAGACAGTTCAGCGGGTTGACTCCGAGTTCTATGTACAAACGATCCAAGTGGTGAACCGGCCCAAATTAGGCTCTGATTCATCAGGTTAACGGGTCAACTCGTCTGGCCAGGCCGGTTTTTAAAACATTGGTTTAGAGAGATTTACAAAAGTTTAAGGACTTCGGCTGAGATACTAAATGTAAGAGTTGTATTTGTACAAGAGTAATGTTATTGAAACTTAAACAACTAACATAATTATGTTTAATTCCTCTCCGACATTAATTTTTAATTTTGTGTACTTTGATGCATGCTATTATTTATTCTTCACTAATATTATTAGGAAATGATTTAGTGACTCAACGTATTGTGATCATTTAATTGATAATGAAGTGCAATAAATGATGGGACTCATTGACGATTCAATGATCAAAATTATTAAGTCCCTAAATTATGTCTCAATAGTATTGCTATTCTTTTATTGTTGTATTGACCAAAATAATGGGAGTGTTCTACCAACGGTCGTTTGGCTCAATGGTCAAGGGTTCAAGTCCCTTGGACAATAAAATGGTTATTGATTAGTAGGACGGATCTCAATTGCTTAGATGAATCGTGTCCAAGTCCTTAGTGTTGGTTTGAATCCCCATTGAAATGCAAGTCTTGGTTTAACTAGTGAATGAATTGAGGGATCGGTTCATGCACTCGAGATTTGTCCTTGGTGCATCTCTACTAGTGCTATGATGAGCCACAAATTTCTCCTGTTACAAAAAAAAAATAATAATAACAAAAATGCAAGTGTTTCTATGGGACATTTAATATCTTTCGGGCATGTTTGTTTTGAGGATTGTTATGCATAAGATTGAGAAATGTATTCCTTATATTTTCAATACCCATAGAAATTAGTATCGGTAAGAGAAAATATTTCAATCCACTCTCATGTTTGTTAGTTCAATAGGAATTATAGTGGGTCTCACAAACAACCATCTATTATATCACATCTTATATAACAAATATACAATTTTACTCTTAGCATCATCAATTCCATTACACAATTCTAAATGTATGTACAAAAAAAATTTGTAAAAAAAAAAAATTAGTGACACAGTACGCTTAAACATAATATAAGAAAAAACTTTAAAATCAATTTAAAAAAAAAAACCATTGAGGGTCAAATCTCATACTAACATTAAAAGCGGAAAGGTAATTCAGACATTAA